GTCCTGGGTGTTCATCAGCTGATCAGGAATTTATCACAGCAGAAACCTGCCTTCCCTGCCTCACAACTGTCTTCTCCTCTACCAAGAAGAGAACTGCAGAGAATTGACCCGAGTAACCCAGCAATCCTGAGCAATATCACTGTTGCCCGCTACTCCTTGCAAGTCTATCTATTCTGCACATTGGCTTCTGAATAAAGTCCCTTCTTATATTGATATTTGTATGTGCTTTCTTCAATTCTTTGAACAAGAAGCCAGTAACCTGGGATACAACTGGTTCAGACCAGTAATGCTTCCAAGTAACTATATGATTTTCTTTTGCCAAATTGCCTATCCCTGAGTCACCATTAAAACCCAAATGCAAAGCCCAGTGCAGTGGCACACGCCTTTAATCCCAGCACTCTGGTCTACATATCGAATTCCAGGCCAGCTGGGGCGATAGGGAGACTCTGTTGTAAAAAACAAAAAACAAAACAAAAGGCCAAACCTGGGGACTGAACAATTGGCTCAGTGGTTAAGAGCCCTGGCAGAAGACCTCAGCTCTGTTCCCAGCACCCACACTTGGATGACTCACAACTGTCTGTAACTCCATGCCGTTTTCTGGCCTCCGTGGGCATTTCGCTCATGTAAAGCACATACAGACAAGCAGGCACACACATACATAAAAAACAAGAGAGATCTTTGTTTGGTGTGGTGGAGTGCACCTGTATGCTAGCACTTGGGAGGTGGAGACAGGAGGATTAGGAATGTAAAGCCATTCTCAGCTAAATAACAATTTGAGAGTATTCTGGGCTACATGAGACACTGTCTCAAAAATCAAACCCAAATAAAGCAGACAAACAAAACCCTCACTTTTGTCAAGACAAATGTATCCACTGTCATCTCCAGTGCACCCCATTTTCAAATCTTACTTTGGTTTTTAGTTTTAGTTTCTTTACTTGAGGAGTCCCTTGAGGGTTTTCCTTTTTTTTTTTTTTTTTTTTTTTTTTTTTTTGTAGACTGTGTTTGTTTGCCTTTGAGTAGGAAATGAATCACTTTTTTTTATTTTTATTTTTATTTTTATGTGTATGAATGTTATGCCCGCATGTAAGTGTTCCTGTGTCATGCAGTGCCCGTGGAGGACAGAAGGGGGCATCAGATCTGCTGGAAGTGGAGCTACAGATGGTTGCTAGCCACCATGTGGGTGCTGGGATTATAATCTAGGTTTTCTGCAAGAACAACCGGTTGCTCTTAACCACTGAGCCATCACTCCAGTCCCATAAATTTTAATAGCACATCAAATGTGAGATTTGAAATAATCCTTCTGCTTCAGACTTCCAAGTGCTGAGATTACAAGCACAAAGCACAGCACCTAGCTTTTTAAGAAATTTTTTTTTTTTTCTCATTGCAGCTGGTTTGTTTGTTTGTTTGTTTGAAGCAGGGTCTCCCTGTAGCCCCAGCTGTCCTGGAACTCACTATGTAGACCAGACTGGCCTTGAACTCACAGAGATCTGCCTGCCTCTGCCTCCCAAGTGCTGGGACTACAGGCATGTGCCACCACGCCTGGCAAGAAAATTTTTAAAAAAAATTATTTTATGTGTATGCCTACATGTATGTAAGTGCATCTGTGTTGTGCACTGCCCACGGAGATCAGAAGAGGGCATCAGATCCCTTGGAACTGAAGTTCTGGCTGGTCGCTAGCCACCCTGTGGGTGCTGGGAAGCAAACCCCAGGTCCTCTGCAAGAGCAGCCATTGCTCTTAACTGCAGAGCCATTTCTCCAGCCCCAAATCAGCTTTTTTTTTCTTTCTAAGAGTTTCACTCTAGTCCAAACGATGATCCTCGACTCTCCAGCGCTGGGATTACATGTATGCATCACTACTCCTTATCTAAGATTTTCCATGTTTTTATGTGAATGAACTCAGTTCTCCCTTTAAAAAGATATGTACCTTTTTCTTTTTTTTTTAAATTTATTTTATTTATTATTTTTATGCGTGTGTGTGTATTGCTTGAATGTAGGTAAGTGCACCCATGTCGTGCAATGCTCGAGGAGGACACAAGAGGCCGTTGGATCCCCTGGAACTGGAGTTATGGACAGTTGTTAGCTGACATATGGGTGCTGGGATTTGAACCCAGGTCTTCTTCAAGAACAACCAGTGTTCTTAACCGCTGAGCCATCTCTCTAGCCCCCCTCTCCCCTTTTTAAAAAAACAAAAAACAGTCTGAATGTATCCTTGGCTGGTTTGGAACTTACTATGTAGAACAGGTAACCTCAAACTCAACGATCTGGCAACCTCTGTCTCCTGAATGCTGGGATTAAAGGAGTGTGCAAACATTCCTGGCCATATTTACCTTTTCTTAAATGAAATACTTGGTTAGAGGCAATTTTTTTAAGCACTTAGCAAATATTTAAGTAGTGTTATTCTTACTAAATTTTTAAAAACGTATTGTGTGTGAATGTGGGTATATGTACCACACTGTGTGTAAGTCAACTTTCGAGTCAGTTTTCTCCTTCCTCCTTTATGTGGGCTCCAAGATGGAACTCTGGCTGCCTGGTTTGTGTTGAATTTATTTGTTGAATTATTTCACTGGCCTGAGTAGTGTAATTCTTAACAACCTGGTAAACTGGTAGAAGTCTTCAGTTTTACAGAGAAACTTGAGGCACAGAGGATAAGGTTGTTGTTCAAAATCACACACTAAATGCAGCCCCACAGTCTACTTCTGGTGAGTGAGTATGTGTGTGTGTTTGTGTGTTTCACTGTTGAAGATGATTGTTTTCCTTACCAAATAGTTTTTCTTTCCAAATCAAGAATAGCTGAAAATGGGCCTGGGGAGATCACTTAGAAGTGAAAAGTGTGTACTGTTCTTTCAAAGAACTTGAATGTGGTTTCTAGCACCCACATGGTGGAGGGGTAGGGGTGAGGGTTCACAACTGGCTGTAACTCCTGCACCAGGGAATCTGGTGCCCTCTTCTGGCCTCCTCAGGCACCTCATTTGTATACACAGACACACCACCAAGCCTCATGAGTTCCACATAGTGGGTTCTAGGCCAATCTGAGTGGCAGAGTGATATCTTGTCTTAATAAAACAAAATCCAGGGACTGAGGAGACTTATAGTGCCTTGAGTTTAATTCTCTGAACCCACACAAAAGCTGGGTGAGTGTGCCTGTAATCCTGGTTCTGTGGAGGTAGAGACGTACGGTCCCCAGGGCTTGTTGGCCAGCCAATCTGGCTGAATCTGCAAATTCTAGGTTCAGTAAAAGAACTTGTCTCAAAGAAATGAAATGGAGAGTTATTGAGGAAGAGGTCCAATATCAGCCTCCCTCTTCCACATAGACACACTCATACACACACACACACATACACGCACACAGAAACACACAAAACTAAAGTGAAACAAAAATTTTAGAAAGTATTTGGACTCAGGATGTCCAATGGTAAAGAGTTTGCCTAGCGTGCTGGAGGCTCTGTTCAAGCCCCATGATGCAAAAGATATAATTAATGGAAAAGATTCCCTTAGTTGGAGTCCCTCAAACCTCACTATTTAACATTCATCACTTATTATTGCCCCTTACAGAACACTTTTTGTTTTGTTTGTGTTTTTGAGACAGGGTGTCTTTGTAGCTCCAGGTCACCTGGAACTTGTTGTGTACACCAGAGTGGCTTTGATCTCATAAAGATCCCCGTGCCTTCTAAGTGTTGCTAAGAGTAAAGGTATACACCACTACACCCTGCTATTAAAGTGCACTTAACTCAGCATAGTTTGTCAATATATACAGTATCATGAATAAAAAAAATAATGAAAATTGGCTTTCCTACCAATGCATTCATTAAAGAATCTCTCTGTGTCTTAGAATGGATCAAAACACTCCTTACTCCTGACTTCCTAACAGAAATGCATACCATGGAAGAAAGAAAGCCGAAGAGCTCATGATAATTCACTAATAATTTTCTTCTGTCTGGCAGCCAGTGGTTTTTGCTTTCCAAGACCATGCTGTGGAATAATGCCTTTCTTTAAATGGTAGAATGCTGTATAAGGAGCTGGGGCAGGAAGGTCTTTCTGGTGGCTGACCACAAGCATGTTCTCAGGTAGTTTATTTGAGAAAAGAGTTTCGTGGAAGATGAAAATTTTCATTCAAATTTTCATTTCAAATTAGTGGTCAGGGCATATAGCTCAATTGGTAGAGTGCTTGCCAAACCCTGAGTTTGATTCCCAACACTGGGGACGTGGAAGCAGAAGGATCCAAAGTTCAAGGTCTTCTCGACTGCATAGTGAGTTCAAGGCTGGAGAGATGCTTAGTACTTAGGAGTACTTGCTGCTTTTGCAGAAGACCCAGGTTTAGTTTCCAGCACTCTCATGACTGCTCACTCAGGAAATTAAGAAAGTTCCCTACAGTAAGGTTGATGGACATATCTTCCATACCCAATTACTGAGAGTAAAATCATACTTTGAAACCTTGGAAACGAGAATGCTGTGTTGTACTGGAAGTGACCTTTGACATTGTTTGACAGGTTCACATTGCCCTTGATGCCTCTGCCACCAGTTTGACTATAATGAACTTAAGTGTAGCTAGTATGACCAAATCAAAGTGTCAAAGATTAACTTTTTGAGAGACCGACCACCAGTAAAACTCGTTGGTTAAAGCCAGTAGTTATTAGGCCTAATTAAGAAACTAATGGCAAAACACCCCCTTGGCAAAATTTTGTAGGGAGATTAGGAAATGATTGTGAGGTTTTAGGACTTAAAATAGATCTTATGTGGCCAGTATTTCAGGACTTGGACAAGTCGTGACATCATGGACAATGTGGAGGCAAGGGTTTGGAAACGTGTTGATGTGTAAGCTCTTTGGTTGCCTCCCCAGCCTTATCTTCCAGGAAGCTTCTAAGTTCTATCTGGAAGCTAGCTGTTAAATCATTTTTACTTGGTCTCAGTGTTGTTTAGCACAGAGACCAAATGAATGATGTTAGATCTTTTGTTCAAAAAAAGGACTAAATTAATTGACATTAATTGTTGTTTTGTTTCAGCTTTGCCCGAAGTTTTTACATACAAATTCTACTAGTCATACTTGGCCCTTCAGTGCAGTTGCTGAATTAATAGGTATGTAAATTGACATTTCATACTATGTGCTGTTTGCGCTTATAATTTTAAAGATTTTAAAAATAATACACAACTATACTTATTTCAGTGTATTCTGAATGGTAACATTACTGGTAAAGCTTCCTTGACATAAAAACTATTTAAATTGAGCTGGGCGTGGTGACGTATGCCTTTAATCTCAGCACTCGGGAGGCAGAGGCAGAGGCAGGCGGATCTCTGTGAGTTCAAGGCCAGCCTGGTCTACATAGTGAGTTCTAGGACAGCTGGGGCTACAGGGAGACCCTGTCTCAAAAAGACCAAAAAAAAAGATTTAAATTGATAGCAAATGAATTATTGCTCAACCTTTCTTATATTACTACCAAAGTGTTTAATAGTATTTAGTATTTAATTTTCTGACTTCACAAAGCATTTGTATTGAAAATACTTTATTCCGATTATGAAAGTAAAAAAGAATTATGCATATTAGTAGTATGTGTAACATATAGAGGATATTCATCTTTCTATGTTAATACGTTTTTATGATAGTTGCTTCCTCTAAGGGGATTATATTTTAATGTTCTAATGAATACAAGAAAATATGTTTATATTCAGATTTGCATTATGAAGTCATGGGTTTCTTAGTAAAATTTGTGAATAAGAGTTTTTTCCCCCAATTTAGGGATGTTTTAAAACATAGGAAAGGAAATTTTATTCTCAGATTTAAAAAATATATTTTATTTATTATTTTTATTTTTTATGAGTGTATTGCCTGCAAGTATGTGAGTGCACTTGTGGCATGCAATGTTGCGGAGGTCAGAAGAGGGCTTCAGATTCCCCTGGAACTGGAGTTAAGGACAGTTCATAGCCGCCATGTGGGTGCTGGGAATCGAACCCGGGTCCTCTGCAAGAGCAGTCAGTGCTCTTAACCACTGAGCCATCTCTCTAGCCCCTATTCTTTTTTTTTTATTTTATGTGTATGAGTGTACTGACTACATGTGTGTAGGTGCACCCATGTCCTGCAATTCCCATGGAGGCCAGAAGAGGGTTGTTGAATCCATTGGTAACTGGAGCTACAGATGGTTGTCTGCTGCCATGTGGGTGCTGCAAACTGAACCTGGGTCCTTTGCAAGAGCAGCCAGTGCTCTTAAACACTGAGCCGTCTCTCCAGCCCCAATTCTCAGATAATTCTTACATTTATTTTACAATACAATCTTTATCAAAGAAAGGTCCTGCCTGATAATGGAAGTAAAAGAAGGAACTTTTGAGCAAATACACTTTAGTTTTTGTTGTTTTTTAAGACAGTGACTCTTCTGCCTTTGCTGATCTAGAACTCACTGTGTAGCTCAGGCTGGCCTGGAACTCACGAGTAGTCCTCCTTTTTCAGCTGTTCTAGTGCTGAGATTACAGGTGTGAGCCACAGTAGGTGGCTTCTTTTCTTTGATATACAAATCTAGAGTGGATCTGCTCCAATACTGCAGCTGTTGCTTTTTTAATGGCAGCCTATTGGAACCACCCATGACTGAGCATGTTGTTCTTTGTGGAAGAACAAATTCAATTTTTTTTTTTGGTCTTTTTGAGACAAGGTCTCTCTGTAACCCCAGCTGTCCTGGAACTTACTATGTAGACCAGGCTGGCCTTGAACTCACAGAGATCCACCTGCCTCTGCCTCTCAAGTGCTGAGATTAAAGGCATGCACCACCACGCCCTGCCAAATTCAAATTTTTAATGAAAATTTCTTTTTCCTGAAGTTATTGAAAAAGATTAACTGTATTGAAAAACTGTTATTTGTAATAAGTACTTCAAAATATATTTCAATTAGGGAGTATTCAGATGGATCTGGGATAAGTCTTAGATTGTTTTGTTGCAGATATCAGGGGTTTTTTTTGTTTTTGTTTTGTCTTTTTGAGATAGGGTCTCCCAGTAACCCCAGCTGGCCTGGAACTCACTATGTAGATCAGGCTGGCCTCAATCTCACAGAGATCCGCCTGCTTGTGTCTCCCAAATACTGGGATTAAAGGTTTACACCACCATGCCCAATTTTTTTTTTTTTTTTTTAGTCTTTTTGAAACAGGGTCTCCTGGTAGCCCCAGCTGGCCTGGTACTCTCCATGTAGTCCAGGCTGGTCTTGAACTCACAGAGAGCCACCTGCCTCTGCCTCCCAAGTGCTGGGACTAAAGGTGTGTGCTGCCATGCCTAGGTGAGCAAAATATTTTTAATGTATTCCTTTTTCTGTGCCTATTCTGAGAAAAAGGACTATGCTAAAAAAGGATGCTAGCCAGGAGGCAGAGGCAGGTGGATCTCTGTGAGTTTAAGGCCAGCCTGGTCTACATGGCAAGTGTCAGGCCGGTTGGGGCTACAGGGAGACCCTGTCTTAAAAAAGACAAAAAAAAAAAAAAAAAAAAAAAAAGCTAAATGGGGAAGTTTGCAGTAATAGAATTGTAAAGCTGGAAGAAACTAGTTAAACTGACAAGGGTTACAATTATAGATATTTGTAGAAGGTGGATCTTCCATGTGTATATCTAGCTTAGCAGAAGGTGGTCCTGCCTTTCTGTCTCTTCATTAACTGCTGTGCAGTGTCCACAGTGGCTCCTAGTGCTGCTTGACACTCATCTTGCAGTATCTCTTGTGATGGACAGGCTGGTCCTTCTCTTTATCATCTCTGTGCAGTGGGAGTCTATTCCCTACTTGATGTGAAGGGCTTTGGAGAGGGTTAATTCTGTTATATTCAATGAATGCAGTTAGTTTTGTATTTTCACACTATAGGAGTTCCTTAAAAATTATAGCTTTTAAAGTAATAAGAATATTCAGTTGTTTACAAAATTTTTCTGAATTAAAACTGTTTACAAAATTGTTTTGACTTTTTAAAATGCGGACTGAGAATTTCTCATAACTCTTTGTCTCCCAGATAATGCTTATGATCCTGATGTGAATGCTAAGCAGATATGGATTGACAAAACAGTGATAAATGACCGGATATGTTTGACATTCACGGATAATGGGAACGGAATGACAGCAGATAAGTTACATAAAATGCTAAGGTATGTAAAAGTCTCACTTCAGAAAGTGATGGCTTGTGCCTAGTTAAAAAATTTCCCATGTTTAAAAATTTACATCATGTTAATTAGTAGAGGTAATAAACATTACCATTGACATCTACCCGATGACTTTATATCCATACACAGGTGCCAAGGATCCAAGTGCAACTGACCATGACTAGTAATAATCAAATACATACAGATTAGAGATACATGCGCCAACATCTAAGTGTTATTAGCAAAAACAATGAGTCTTTCTGTAAGAAACAGTATATCAGCCGCCCCTGCAGAAGGACCAGGCAGGAGGCCCCTGCTAGTGGTGCCCCAGGAAGCACCCGTGTCTCAGGATCCTCTCTCTGCTCTGAGTGACATCTGGAGCTGTGGATCAACAACAGGTTCCAGGAGCTGAGCCGCCTCCAGCTGGAGATCCTCCATCACTGCATCCCGCCCTTCTCCCACTCTTGGGGGCTCCTTATCAAGACCCACGCCCGGCACCAAGACTCCATGGACTGTGGTAAGGCGTGGTCTACTTCAGGTGGAGATGGCTGGTGCAGGTCCAAAGATCTTTGGACTGTGGACTGTGAACAGAGACTGTTCAGTCTGACACTCTGTGAGGAAGTCCCCTAGTGTTTGCTTTCCTGGGAGTCACTGGGTCCTGCTGGGTCCTTCTGAAGTGCAGTGTAGTCTCCCTGGCCCTACCTGGGTGCAGGTGGACACTGGGGTTCTCCTGGCTGTGGCCTTGCAGGGCAGCCTGGTCACAGGGCCTGCTGTGGACTGAGGGCAGCTGGGCCAACAGGCCTGACTCCCTGTGGGTGAGGCTGCAAGGTTCTTTTCAGGGAAAGGGAGAGAAGGGCCCAGGGCTGGCTGCTGGCTCTGTTCTAAAACCTGTTACTGTGACAAGGGTGCCTCAGTTTAACTGTCAGTTGTTTCTTTTTTAAAAAAAAAAATTTTTTTGTCTTTTTGAAGCAGGGTCTCCCTGTAGTCCCAGCTGTCCTGGAACTCACTATGTAGACCAGGCTGGCCTTGAACTCACAGAGATCCTCCTGCCTCTGCCTCCCAAGTGCTGGGACTACAGGCATGCACCACCATGCCTGGTTTTTTAATTAAAAAACTTTTTTATTTATTATTTTTATTTTATGTGTGTATTGCCTGCAGGCAGGTAAGTGCATGGATGTGGTGCAATGCCCAGGGAGGGCAAGAGGCTATTGGATCTCCTGGAACCAGAGTTATGGACAGTTGTTAACTGCCATGTGGGTGCTGGGATTTGAACCCAGGTCATCTGTAAGAACAGTCAGTGTTCTTAACGCTGAGCCATCTCTCCAGCCCCTGTTTTTAAATTTTTAAAAAATATTTTATTATTTTTATTTTTTATGTGTATGAGTGTTATTATGCCTGCATGTAGGTAAGTGCACCCATGTCGTGCAGTGCCTGTGGAGGTCAGGAGAGACTGTCAGATCCCCTGGAACTGGAGTTATGGACAATTGTTAGCTGCCATGTGGGTGCTGGGATTTGAACCTGGGTCTTCTGCAAGAACAGTCAGTGTTCTTAACCGCTGAGCCATCTCTCCAGCCCCGTTTTTAATTCTTTTGTTATTTTTATTTTATGTGTATGAGTGTAATGCCTGCATGTATATAGGTGTACCTGTATCCTACAGTGCCCACAGAGGTCAGAGGAGAATGTTGGAATCCCCTGAAATTGGAGTTACTGATTGCTGTTAGCCACCATGTGGGAATTGAACCCAGGTCTTAACCTCTTGAGCCACCTCTCTGGCCCGTTTTTGTTTTTAAACTATGAAATGCTGTGCCCACAAGCTGTGTTTCAAAACATAGCCCTTATCTTCCACATCCTCCATCATTTCTACAGCTGGTCAGTTATTAGTCAGTCCCAGCATTCTCACCTCCCCTTCCTCGTCTTTGCCTTAACTGAAATTCCACCATTCCTTTAGGGGTTCACTGATAACAGCTGTTTGTACTTTGGTATAAATTGATCTTAACTGGTATTTCTATAAAGCTTACTATTGGGGGTGGAGGCTGTCTTTAAAAAGATGGAGGGAATGAAGGAACATAAAAAAATTCATATAGCCTTTGGCTATGGAGTCAGTGAACAGAATGTTCCTATGAATCAAATGTGCCTGAGATGGAAATGGAGGTATATGGTGCCGAGTAGAGGGAATGTTTAGAAGTGGACGCCTCCTGTTACCCTTTAGGTATTCCCTATGCTGCTTAAACGTTAGGTTGACCCCAACAGTCATCATGCTGCATGCCTTGTTCAAAGTGAGAATTGTTGAGACCTAGAGGAGACTCATGGAATGAAATCTGAAGTTCTGTCTGTCTTAGAGGGTGACGGCCACTTAGCCCAGTGTGCCAGACAGTGAGTGCTGTCTGAGCACCTGAGGTCCATGTGCCTGGGGCACAGACTTTTTCCCTTGTCATTTCAGAGCTGAAGAAACCCATCAAGTAGCTAAAAGTAGTTCACCCAAGATTATACTCCCAGGAAGGGTGGAACCAGCATTTGAACCCATGCTTTTTCCTTACTTTTACATTTATTGATTTTTTTTTTAATTATAAAAATTTTTAAAGATTGTTTATTCATTAAATCTTTCTTTTCTTTTTAGCTTTGGCTTCAGTGACAAAGTTACCATGAATGGTCATGTCCCAGTTGGATTGTATGGTAATGGCTTCAAGTCAGGCTCAATGCGTTTGGGTAAAGATGCAATGGTTTTCACTAAAAACGGAGAAACCATGAGTGTCGGCTTCTTGTCTCAGACGTACTTGGAAGTCATAAAGGCAGAGCATGTTGTTGTCCCAATAGTGGCATTTAACAAACACCATATCCTTTTGGTTTTTGGAATGGATGCTGTGGAGAAACTGGAAAATAATTCTGAAACATTTTTCCTTCCTCATCTTGCCCTTATTTTAGAAAGGATCTGTCCGTGTCACCTAGGCTTGCCTCCAAAACTAGTCTTCCTGCCCCAGCCTCCCAAGGACTGGGATTAAGGGCATGTAGGACCACACCTCGGCCAAATTCTTGTTTTTTTTCAATCATATGTATTCCAATTCTTTGTACACTTCCTTTCCCTGTACCTGAAGCTCACAGTCTGCCTTTTTTATCTGTTGGAATTTTGCTGTGGAAATCTTCAACATAAAGTGGTTGTATTTTGTGGGTTCTTTACACACACACACACACACACACACACACACACACACACACACACACACACACAGAGTGCCGGAGGTGAAGCTTAGTTGGTAGAGTCCTTGTCTACCATGCATGAGATCACGGGTTTGATCTGCAGTACCACAGAATAGACAGATGTATTCCAGAACTGTTCTTTAGAGATAGGGGCTGAGTGTGTAGTCTAAGCTGGCCAATCCAGCCTCTTGATTAATTTAGCTGGAGTTACAAGCATTAGCCCCTGGACCTGCCTCAGATTTCCTCATTTCAGGCTTATTGTGGATTAGTAAAGACTTTAATTGCCTAACTTGAAATAGCAGTGAAAAACAAGATAATTTTAGGACATATTGACATATTAGCACTAAGTCAGGAATAATGAACTTTCTTTCTTTTTTCCTTTCCTCTTACATTGAGATATAGTGTGCTACTTGTGTTGGTGAATACCTTTAACCCAGAATTTGGGAGGCAAAGGCAGGTGGATCATTGTGAGTTTGAGGCCAGCCAGAGCTGCATAAGTGAGACCTTGTCTCAAAAATAAAAAAAAAATTGAACTGGGCATGGTGGTGCACGCCTTTAATCCCAGCACTCTTTAATCCCAGCACTCCGGGAGGCAGAGGCAGGTGGATCTCTGTGAGTTCAAGGCCAGCCTGGTCTACATAGTGAATTCAAGGACAGCTGGGGCTACAGGAAGACCCTGTCTCAAAAAGACCAAAATAAATAAAAATTGAGATAGGGTGGCCTTGACTTTAAAGTTTGTCTTCGGCAGCCTCTCTGGTAGCTGGGATTATGGCTGAGTAGCTGAGCCCACCCACTTGCTCATCTTTCCTCACGTTCATTGAAATCACTTCATTTTGAATTTAGAAAATAATTTAGGGAATAATTTCTTGAGTTTAGTGAAGTTGGTTTCTGTATTATTATGAAATTGTGTTGTTGATTTCAATCTTTAACTAAGGACATACGACAAATGATTAATTTAGCAGAATCAAAAGCAAGCCTTGCAGCAGTTCTGGAACATTCCCTGTTTTCTACGGAACAGAAGCTGCTGGCGGAACTTGATGCTATTATGGGTAAGAAGGGGACAAGGATCATCATTTGGAATCTTAGAAGGTAAATGTAGATCTCTGCTAGGTTGACCCTTTGGGAAGTAAAGTACATGTACAAGATTGACTTCATGGTGTTCATCCCTTTTCTACAGGCTACATAAATCAATGGGAAAATCATTTCTTGGCATATTTAATGATTCCTCTTTATTGAGCCCACTTTGGCTTGAAGTGAAATACTTTCATATTGCTACAAAATTTTCCTAGCCCTGTCATTCTATCTCCATTAGCACTGTTCTCTATTATTCCATGCCTAGTCTCAAAACAAAACAAAACAAAACAAAAAAAAAGAGAAAAAGAGCAGACCTTAGTTCATCTCATCTGTTACTTAAAGCCAAACTTGAGTGTCTGGTAAGAAAAGTGGTACAGATAAGAGTTTTGCCTCGCTAAAGTTTATAGTTCTTGAGCTGGTGAGATGACAGAATGGGTAAAAGGTGCTAGCTGCCAAGCCTGACTCTGAGTTCAGTCCCAGGTTCTATATGGTGAAGGAGAGAACCAACTCCCAAAAGTTGTCCTCTCATCCACACATACATGCACACAAAATAAATAAATATAATTTTAAAATATTTTTATTATTATTTTATGTGTATGTAAGTACACCCATGTTGTACAGTGCCTGAGGAGGTCAGAAGAGGGCATCAGATCCCCTGGCAATGGAGTTATGGATGATTATTAGCCACCATGTGGGTGCTGGGAATCAAACCCAGTCCTCTGGAATAACAGCAGTGTTCTTAAATGCTGAGCTATCTCTCCAGCCCACAGTAAATATTCTTACAAGATTTTTAAATTTATTTTTATTTTTTTGTGTATGAGTGTATTGCCTGCATGTATGTAAGTGTACCCATGTTCTGCAGTGCCTGTGGAAGACAGATGAGGGCACCAAGTCCCGTGGAACTGGAGCTATAGGCAGTTGTTGGCCACCATGTGGGTGCTGGGATTCGAACCTGGGTCTTTTGCAAGAGCAGCCAGTACTCTTAATCACTGAACCATCTCTTCAGCTCCCAAAATAAACTTTTTAAAAATGAAAATAAAATGTATAGTTCTTTATCCTTTTGATATAAAATCCTTTGCAAATAAGAGCTTTAAAATTCAGTATTAATAAGTAATCACAGAAGGTCTAAGAAACTAAACCACAAGAATAAGCAACAAATAGTGGTAAATCTAACTTAATTTTAAATTTGTGTTTTTCTGACCTCTTGAATTATTTTTCTTTGACCTTCCTGCCCCCTCCTTCTGGATTCCCTTTTTCAATCAAGCTTTCTGTTTTGCGGTAACTGTAACCTTTCAGTTTTCTCTGGTGGTAGCAGTATAGTATCTATTCATAGTGACAGGGACGTTGTCGTTCATACAGTAAAATGCAGGAGTTTCACTCACCACGGGCATCCCTCACATTGCCCATGTGTGCTTCTTTTTTTTTTCAATTTTATTTATTATTATTATTATTATTATTATTATTATTTTGGTCTTTTTGAGACAGTGTCTCCCTGTAGCCCCAGCTATCCTGGAACTCATTTTGTAGACCAGGCTGGCCTTGAACTCACAGAGATCCGCCTGCTTCTCGAGTGCTGGGATTACAGGTGTGCACCACCATGCCTGGCTTTTTTATTTATTATTTTTATTTATGTGTATGCATATATTGCCTGCATGTAGGTAAGTACACCCCTATCGTGCAATGACCGTGGAAATCAGAAGAGGCTGTTGGATCCCCTGGAGTTACGAACAGTTGTTAGCTGCCATGTGGGTGCTGGGATTCGAACCCAGGTCTTCTGCAAGAACAGCCAGCGTTCTTAACCGCTGAGCCATCTTTCCAGCCCCACCGCGTGTGTTTCTTACATGCTTTCCTGCCTCAATCCCTGGCAACCTCTAACCTGTTGACCCTTGTATGATTTAGTCATTCCATCGTGTTGTATAAATGGAATTGAAGATGTGAAACTCTTTAGGGTGCTGCTTTTCACTCGGTATCATTCTCCACAGATGTGTCCGGTTCCTTGTGTTTATCAGTTTGCTGCTTTTCACACTAATACTGTATTGTGTGTTGAGGTCTGATTTTGTTTAGCATTTCACCTGTTAAAGGACATCTAGGTTGTTTATAGTTTGATTCTATTACAAATAATGCTATAAACATTCAACACTTGTGGTTATAGTAATGCCCAGGAATATAATTTTAGGTAATATGGTAGTTGTATTATTAGGTTTTGAGAAACTGCCAGGCTGTCTTTCCTGAGATGTTGTACTATTTTGCATTCTTACCAGCAATGCATGAAAGATACATTTTTCTTAAGTCTTCTTGGATGCTTTTTCTTTGTTTTTGCTTATTTTGTGCTTGTTTCCTCAGGAGATCTGCTGTGTGAAGCTTTTTGTTTGTTTTTTTCTTAGTGGTTTAGTTAGTATTTGCTTATTTTGCTTATTTTTCTTGATGTCAAATTAAATTTTGCTTCTTTCTAAAAATTTTGCAGCTACAAAAACGCAACAGAATTTGATTTTGAAAAGGATAAATATGACATCAGAATTCCCGAGGACTTGGATGAGACTGCGGGGAAGAAAGGGTACCGGAAGCAAGAAAGGATGGACCAGATTGCTCCTGAGAGCGACTACTCTCTGAGGGTATGGAGTCAACACTGCCGCGGAGATGAGGAAGGAACCGAGATGAGGAAGGAACCGAGTAGTGGAGCCCTTAGCAGGCTTCTGTTCCTCACTTGCATTGTCAGAACTCCAGGGGTCTCTGGTTGGAAGTGTCTTAGGCATGAATCAATGTAGTATTGCTTTATTTGCTAAGGAAACTTTATTTTAGTAGATCAGGATATAGCTCAGTTGGTAGAATGGTCACCTAGTGTGCACAAGACCCTGGGTTCAACCCTCAGCACTGCACCAGTTGGACATGCCTGTAATCCTTGAACAGGGAAGGGAGTTCAGGGAAACCCTTGGCTACATAGAGAGCTTAAGGCTAGCCTGGGCTACTTGAGACTGTGTCTCAGAGAAAGGGGGATGGGGAGAACCTTATTTTAGTTGCAAAATCATCAGGGCTTGTAGTTCTTACAGATTCTTTTACTATGTACTTAGTTTATTAAAATTGATAAATCAGTACTTTTTTTTTTTTAATTGGCCGGGAACTTGCTTTATAGACCAAACTGGCTTTGATCGCGAGAGATCTGGCTGCCTCTGCCTCCTGAGTGCTGGGATTAAAGGGGCATGCCACCACTTTCAGAATCAGTAAGCTTTATGATTAACTCAAGTCAGAAAACACCAAATTCAATGTGTTTTCAGATTATTTATCATTTTGTAAACTACATACACCTAGTAATACTTTGTCTCCTGAAACAATAAATTATAGACTAGTTAATGTACACTAATAAAATTTCTTAATATCACTGAGATTTGACTTCAGAAGTGGGTTATTTTTAAGATTAAATGTATTAGTTATGTTTATAAGATTAAATGTGTTAGTCTCACTGCTGTGACAGAATGCCTGACAGAAGCAAGTTAAGAAAGGAAGGGTTTGTTTTGGCTCAGAGTTCCAGGGAACAGTCCATCATGTCAGGGAAGGGGTGATGGTAGGACAGGAGGCTGCTACTCACATTGTATCTACAGAGAACAGAGAGGGATGGATGCTTGTTCTGAGCCAACTCTCTCCTTTTTATACATTCTGAGACTCCAACCATGGAATGGTGCTACCCACGTTTAGGATGGGTCTTCCCACTTCACTTACTGTAGAAAATCCCTTGTAGGTATCCCAAAGCTTTGTCTCCAAGGTGATTCACAATCCTGTCCTGATACTGTAACATCACATTAAACAAATGAAAATCTCAGTATAATGATGTTACTAATATGGTATTATTTCCTAGTCAGTATGAAGTGATACCAACTTTATGCTTTTTGTGCTAAAATCGTTCCATAACCCATAACCCATGCTAAGAATCTGTTTGGCAGTTACAAGTTTGCTGGGTAACTTTTTCTGAGGTCCAAGTAATTATTAAACAAATAAATACTATTGTTATATTGTTATGTCCTGTTACCAGGTATATCCTTGCTCAAGCCTGGCGTGGTGGTACACGCCTTTAATCCCAGCACTTGGAAGGCAGGCAGAAGCAGGCGGATCTCTGTGAGTTCCAGGTCAGCTGGGGCTACAGGGAGACCCTGTCTCAAAAAGACCAAAAAGAAAAAAAAACTTGCTCAAGTATGAAACAGCTCTCAAACCAATGACAACAGGTAGTTTAAAAGTACACAACCCGATTAACGAATTATAGAAAAGATATGGCACCACTCTTTGGAATCAGGAGCCAGAAGGGAAGTAAGAAATGTTCAAGTCCTACTTTTATATTGAACCTTTCATTATCCCTTTTGGGTTATTCCACACATTTCATTCAGAGACTTATCATAGTACAGACAGATCAAAGAACATGTTTTAGTGTGTGATGTTTAGTCAGATTTCTAAAGTATCTTTTCTTTGTAGGTTTTAAAAAAATTGTTTTAAATATTTATTTTATGTGTATAAATGTTTTGCTGGAATGTATGTAAGTGCTGCACCACATGTATGCAGTGCCTGCAGAGGCCAGAAGAGGGGGTTAGACACCCTGGAACTGGAGTTACTGATGGTTGTGAGAGGTCATATGGATGCTGAGAACTGAACCCAATGTCCTTTGCAATAGCAACAAGTGCTCTCATAACTGCTGAGCCGTCTCTGCCTGTCTTTTTTTTTTAAGTCAGGTTCTTTGTAGCCTTGGCTTGCCTGGAACTTGCTGTGTAGACCAGGATGGTCTGGAACTTGCAGACATTCACCTGGAATAGTGATATGTACTTGATTAAAATGTCAGAAAATGTTCTTTTTGGTACCTTTGTATGTGTTTTTCTCATTTGTTCATTTATTTGTTCTTTTTAAACTATTGTTTATTCTTTGAGAATTTCATACATGTATACAGTGTTTTCTGTTTATGTCCATTCTCCATTTCCTTTGTTCTTTCTGAAGTAGGGACTCAGGCTGGTCTCAAACTTACCGTGTAGTCAAGGCTGACCTTCGAACTATTAATGCTTCTGTCCTGAGGGCTAGAATTATAGGTGTGAGCCACCGTAATACAGTTTAGAGAGATTAAAATATGCTACACATAATGTTCTACCACTTTTTTCATTCTATAATATATAAGCATTGATGTAGTTCAGTAAATTTTTTATAGTCATTGTTCTGGTTTGTTTCTCTTCATTGCTGTGACAAAATACTCTGACCAGTACCAACTTGGGGAGGAAAGGGTTTATTCAGCTTACATCTCCCAGGTCGCAGTTCATCAAGGAGCCCAAGGTAGGAACTCCGGGCAGGAACCTGGAGGCAGGAGCTGGATGGAGCACAGGCCATGGAGGAACGCTGCTTACTGGCTTGCTCCCCTGGCCCCTGCTCAGCCTACTTTGTTATGCAACACAGCCCCACCTGCCCAGGGGTGGCACCACCCACAGTGGGCTGGGCCCTCCCACATCACTCATCAAGAAGATGCCCCTCAGACATGGCCACAGGCCAGTCCAATAGAGGCAATTCTCCAATTGAGGTGCCCTCAACCCGGATGTGTCAAGTTGATACTAAAGCTATCCAGCACAGTCATAGTATCATCTAGTTTGTCTTTTAATTCTTTTTTGAGACAGGCTCTCAATATGCAACCTAGACTAACCTTAAGCTCAAGATTCACTGTCTTACCGTTCTGAGTGCTGGGATCATGGATTGTGGCACACACATGTAATGCCAGCATTCTAGGAGGAACGGCCAGGAGAACCAGGAGTTTGTCCTTAGCTGTGTGTTGTTGCAGAATGACTACTGCAGTTTTGTGTATTCCATGTTGTTGCTTGATGCTTGGGGTGGAACCCAGTACATGTAAGTACATGTTAGCATATGTAAATGTGTACATGGCTTCACCACTGATCCACCACTAGTCTATATTTTATTGAAGGATGAATACATTTATTACCAAAGGAAGTGCTTTCCTTTTAAACTCACGTCTAAGTAATGTTGAGCAGATCCATTAATAGTTATTTAGAAAGGACAGATTTTTGCTGTTTCTTTGCAGGCTTACTGCAGTATTTTATACCTAAAGCCAAGAATGCAGATCATCCTGCGTGGACAGAAAGTGAAGACACAGCTAGTTTCAAAGAGTCTTGCCTACATAGAACGTGATGTTTATCGACCTAAATTTTTAGTATCCTTTATTTACAGTACTGTGTAAACATCAATGATGCCTATTCTCCATGTGTGTGTGTGAGTGTGTGTGTGTGTGTGTGTGTGTGTGTGTGTGTGTGTGTGTGTGAGAGAGAGAGAGAGAGAGTGAGAGAGAGAGAGAGAGGAGAGAGAGAGAGACAGAGTCAGCCATGGTTCTCATGGGAGGTCAGCACAGTTGCCGTTGTTTTCCTCCTTCCCCCGTGCGGGTCCCAGGGGTGGAACTCAGGTTGTTAACTTAGTAGCCAACACCTTTATCCTCTGAGCCATCTTGCTGGCTTTCCCCATGAGAATTCTCGTGTCTTCTGTGTGTACTTTGGGGTATATTAACTATGTTCTACAAAGCGGTATTAGAAGGGAGTGAACTATTGTCCTCATAGTTTTCCTTAACATTTTAAGACTAGAACAGTGAGAATTACTTTTGGATTCAACTGCAGAAATAAAGATCATTATGGAATAATGATGTACCACAGAAATAGACTCATCAAAGCTTATGAAAAAGTTGGATGTCAGTTAAAGGTAAGATTTGTATTTGAAAAGAAAATGAATATTTTTAACAAAAGAGTAGTGTTACTGGGTCAGAGATAAAATTAACAGTGTATTTTGCCTATGACTTTTAGGTGTTAGTTAGCCTTTTAACATTTTATTTTTATGTGTGTAGATGTTTTGTACCATGTGTGCAGTGCCCATAGAGGCCAGAAGAGGGCGTCAGGTCCCCTGGAACTGGCATTACAAACAGTTGTTAAGATACCATGTAGGTGATGGGAACTAACTTGGGTCTTCTGCAAGAACAGTTAGTGCTCTTTAACTGCTGAGCCATCTCTCCAGCCCTAGAACTGCTTTCTTTTTAAAAAGAAATTTATTTATTTATTTTGATCATGTATGCACTCAAACATGCCATCATGCCTGCGAGGATTGGTTCTCACCTACAGTGTAGGTTCTAGAGATTGAACTTGGGTCATCAGGCTTGGTGGCAAGGGCCTTTATCCTTTGAACTATCTTGCTGACCCTGGAACTTCCCTTTTAAGCAACTCTTCTTGTGAAATTTGGTTTAGGATGATATTTGTAGTCCACTGTTTGTCCTGTACACATTTTCACAGAGAAGCTTTTTTAGGGTTGTGTGTACATTTTCTTGGTATTTGTTGATAATTATGAAAATAAGTCATCCTTATTAAAAGATTTTGCAACTAGGTATACTTTTGTTTCATCAAGTTTTTGGTTTTCATTTTCCTTTCATCTTTTTCTAAATTCTTTTTTTATTTTTTTGGAGACATGATTGCCCTGTAGCCCCAGCTGTCCTGGAACTCACTATGTAGACCAGGCTGGCCTTGAACTCACAGAGATCCGCCTGCCCCTGCCTCCCAAGTGCTGGGATTATAAAGGCATGTGCCACCACGCCCAGCCTCCAAATTCTTGTTTATTTTTCATTTGTTAGTTTTTTATTTTATGTGTATGAGTGTATTGCCTGCATGTGTGTAAGTGCACCTATGTTGTGCAGTGCCTAAGGAGATCAGAAGAGGGCATTGGATTCCCCTGGAACTGGAGTTATGGACAGTTGCTAGCCAATGTGTGGGTGTTGGGAATCAAACCCAGGTCCTCTGCAAGAACCCCCGGTGTTCTTAACCACTGAATCATCTCTCCAGCCCTGAATGTTTTGGGTTCTACATAGTATAGTATTGTAGATTTGTCTTGAACACTGTTTAATATAAGGTATAAGAAAGAGATCATCTCTGTGAGTTCAAGGCCAGCCTGGTCTACATAGTGAGTTCCAGGACAGCCGGGGCTACAGGGAGACCCTGTCTCAAAAAGACCAAAAAGGAAGGAAGAAAAAAAAAACAAACCCCCAAACCAAGATCATGCAGTACAAATTGGAAGGTGTCTTGTTATCTGTTGATTTGAGGGTGATAGGAGATGAAGAGCTCCTGGAGGTTTTTAGTAGAGCAGGATTATGATGGATCTTGTGTTGTGAAAGCATTCATGGATCCTAGTAGAGGCAGTCCCTTTTCTCTTGTGTAAATTTGGAGATGATACTTGTCTAAGTGGATACTTGCTGATAGCTGTTTTGGAAGAAAACTGTAATATATTTAGGAATTAACTCCTAAAAAAGAAAATAAAGCACCTACCGGAAACTTCTTTTAGTCCAAATTTCATGAGACTTGTGTAAATATAGGAAAGTATTTTATAGGAATTCTAAATCTTTGTTGAAGGGCATAGTGAACATCAATGTGTTATGTTTAAAATGCTGTTTCATTTAATTTCAGGCAAACAACATGGGTGTTGGAGTAGTTGGAATTATAGAATGTAATTTCCTTAAGCCAACTCACAATAAACAAGATTTCGACTATACTAACGAGTACAGGTATGCCACTCAAAGTACTGACTGACACTCCGAGGAAAGCAGGAATTTGCGCTTTTGCTTTTGCTCTTGCTCTGAGGGGGTGGGGGGACATACTTTGAGACAGGGTCTTACGTAGCCTAGACTGCCTTGAGCTTCTTCTGATCCTCTTGCCTAAACCTCCTGAGTGCTGAAGTTAACAGGAATATGCTCCCACACTCGTCAGGGAAGGGTTTGCTGTTTTCACTGAATCTCAGATGCTTCACATTAATAAAGACATAGTTGAATATACTCACTGCTTTTGATGGACTGATTACAGTTCCTCATATGGAAGATCATTTCCTTTTCTGCATAAGCCACCCAGTTTTAAAAAATTGTTTAGTGCTGGAGCGATGACTCCGCGGTTAAGAACTGTCCTGTCCCGCAGGATCTGCCACGGGGTACCTGGAGTGAGGAGTGGGGATTGAATAGGGCAAGAGACACAGAGAATGGAGACAAGACACTCTTTTGATTAAGTTTCATTTATTGAATATCTGTACAAAGCTTTTATAGGGAAGCAGAAGGGGAAGAAGCCGAGTGGGTAAATTTCACTGAAACAGTACATTTGTCACCAGACAATTGTAGCAGTAGTAAATTTTAAAGTTAGATTAGAAGTTACAGTGAGAAACCACCAGTTATACCACAAGACCCCATGGTCTTGTAAGATAAGGAAGTTTCTTAGGCATTGTAAATAGGGCGGAAAAACATGTTTTTCACAAAGCCATCTGGTTGTAGAAACCCTTTAGTTGTAGTTTAGGCTAGGTCAGAAGTTGAATCTGTCAGCAATTAATTTCACAGACAATGGTTGTTATTTCTGAGTTGGGGGCCTACGCTCCCCACAAAGAACACTGAATGTTCTTGCAGAAGACCTAGGTTCGAATCCCAGCACCCACATGGCAGCTAACCACTGTCTGTAACTCCAGTTCTAGGGATCTGACAGCCTCTTCTGTCCTCTGCGGACACTGCATGACATGGGTGCACTTACCTACATGCAGGCAATACGTGCATACACATAAAATATAATAAAATTTTAAAATGCATTTAAAAAATTGTTTAGTATGGAGTTTCTTTTTTTCTTAAAATATTTTTTAATTTTATGGGGCTGGAGAGATTGCTCAGTGGTTAAGAGCACTGACTGCTCTTGCAGAGGACCTGGGTTCAATTCCCACATGACGGCTACGAACTGTCCTTAACGCCAGTTCCAGGGGAATCCTGACGCCCTCTTCTGACCTCCAAGGCATTTCTTGACACGGGTGCACTCACATACATGCAGACAATACACTCATACAAATAAAAATAAGTAAATAAACAAATAATAAAATATTTAAAAAAATAAAAAAATTTTGGTGGTGCTTGCCTTTAATCCCAGCACTCGGGAGGCAGAGGCAGGCGGATCTTTGTGAGTTCAAGGCCAGCCTGGTCTACATAGTAAGTTCCAGGCCAGCTGGGGCTACTGGGAGACCCTGTCTCAAAAAAGACCAAAAAAAAAAATTTTTTTTATGTATATGTATGTTTTTCTATGTTGGTCTGTGCACATATGAGTTCCTGTGCTTGTGGAATCCAGAAGAAGGTGTCAGATCCCCTGAACTGGAGTTCATGAGGTTATAAGCCGACTGATGTGGAACTGAACTCAGCCTCTGCAAGAGCAGTAGGCACTCTTCACTGCTGAGCCATGTCTTCTGACCCTACTTTATTTTAAATTTCATTGTCTATGGTACTGTTACATAACAACATTTATATAATATAATATATTTTATATTATATAATAATAAAAATTATATAATATATATAATTATAAATATATAATATGTAATATATTTTTATTATTTTTATGTGTATGAGTGTATTGCCTGCATGTATGTGAGTGTACCCATCTTGTGCAGTGCCATGGAGGTCAGAAGAGGGCATCGGATTCCCTTGGAACTGGAGTTAAGGATGGTTCGTAGCCACCATGTAGGTGCTGGGAATCAAACCCGGGTCCTCTGCAAGAGCAGTCAGTGCTCCTAACTGCTGAGCCATCTCTCCAGCCCCATAAGGACATTTTCATACAAATATGTATTATACGCTACATGCATTCTATTCCATCTTCCCCTACTCCCTTTTGAGATGCTCTTATAGTCCATGCTGGCCTTGTCACTATCTCCTGAGGGCTGGGATTATGTAGTTTCATAAAATGAAATATAAAAGTACTAACAAAGTGGCAAAGAAATTAGGTTAGAAGTACTTAAAGAATTATTTCCAAAATAAACTTGAAGTAGTGGGACTGGAGTAACAACATGTTAGCTGGGCAAATAGCTCACATCTGTAATCTCGGCAGTGGGGAGGCTGAGGTAGGAGGATTGAATGTCAGGCCACTCTGGGCTACAGTGTGAGGCCCTATCTCAAAAAAAGAAAGAAGATATTCCCTGTATAAAGTAAAAGACCTCTAATCTATAGAACATAAAACATTGTGGAGCGAATTTTGAGACCTAATGATTTTTTTCCAACTTAAAAATGTATTATTATTTTTATTTTATCTGTACAAGGGTTTTGGAAGTACACCTGTGTACATTGCTTGTAGAGGACGGAAAAAGGCATTGGGGCATTGGATCCCTTGGAAATGGAGTTAGGATGGTCGATAGCCATTGTGTGGGTTCTGGGAACTGAATCCATGTTTACTGCAAGAAGAGACAGTGCTCTCAACCACTGAGTCATCTCTTAAGTGCCTCCTTTTTTTTTTTTTGGTTTTTGAGACTGGGTCTCCCTGTAGTCCACCCAGCTGGCCTGGAACTCCCTGTAGACCAGGCTGGCTGGAACTCAGATCTGCTTGCTTGCTAGGATTAAAGGTGTGCACCATCTCCAGCTCAGCTCCAATTTTTTAAAAAAGACTAGATGTGGGTTAGTGCTGACATTTAATGGTCTTGTAGGCTTTGTGTAAATTCTTAGTGGGAAGTGCTCTCAACCACTGAGTCATCTCTTAAGTGCCTCCACCTATGTTACCCATTGAAGAAGAAAGCTAGTAGATTTGACTCTGATGGTGTATTCACCATAACTCCTCAGTGCTACAGTCATTACTAGATTACACTAAACCTGCAGTAACTGAACTACCCAAAATGACTCCATTTTGTTCTAGGTGATTTTACTTTTGCTTTACCCTGTGCTTGCCCAGTGTGCTCCTCCCACCCCTAGAATGGTCTCCTGAAGGCTGCCCCTGTAGTTTCAGGAAGTACATTGTTTTTGCAATGCTGGGAAACTTAGATACAGCCAGGCAGAATGTTCTCACCCAGCTATTTCTGCAATTCTAAGAAGCTTATTTTTCCTAACTGAAACTTAGAAACTTTTTGTTAACTGAAAACTTTTTTAAAAAATATTTTATTTATTTTTATATTTTTATGTGTATGCGTGTATTGTCTGCATGTAGGGAAGTGCACCTATGTCACTCAGTGCCCCCAGGGGTCAGAAGAGGGCTTCGGATTCCCTTGGAGCTGGAGTTACGGACGGTTGTTAGCTGCCATGTGGGTGCTGGGATTTGAACCCAGTTCTTCTGCAAGAACAGTCAGTGTTCTTAATCACTGAGCCATCTCTCCAGCCCCAACCTTTTTACTAACTGGAAACTTTTTGCTTACTGACCTGCTCTGTTCCTCAGGGTCAAGTCTCTTCTGACATTAGCTAAATTAAAGGACTTGCGTTTTGACTGCCACCTTGTGGTGTTCCTCTATGACTCTCTTGGCTATAGCATAACTAAAATACAGGTAGGCTAAAGACTCATGCCTTTGATGCAGCTGATCATATGATTTATCTCAAAGTTTACATTGCAGCCTAGTGTGAAAATGATCATCCTTCTAAAAATACTGGCTTTGTTAATGTTATTTTGAATAGTTCTGGGGCCAGAACTCAGGGACCTGCTTGCTGGGCAGTTGCTCTACCACTGAACTGCACCACCAGCCCAGTTAGGGGGGTTGTCTACACAGGATCAAAAATGTATTGATAACATAGAAAAAAGTTAAGCACTTCTCCAAAATGGAAAGGATCTAGCAGATGCTGGCAAAATGTAGATCGATTGGCACTCTTTTTTTTTTTTTGTCTTTTTGAGACAGGGTCTCCCTGTAGCTCCAGCTGTCCTGGAACTCACTATGTAGACCAGGCTGGCTTCGAACTCACAAAGATCCGCCTGCCTCTGCCTCCCAAGTGCTGGGATTAAAGGCATGCGCCACCACACCCGGCCGAATTGGCACTCTTAAATCACGGACAGATATGGAAGTTATTGGCTTGTTTGGGGTATTTGGGGGGGGGGTGTTTGGTGTTTTTTTGTTTTGTTTTTTTTGCTAATTAAGTAATAAGCATGTTCTTATTTCTCCCATTAACTTTTTTGCCGGGCATGGTGGCACACGCCTTTAATCCCAGCACTTGGGAGGCAGAGGTAGGCAGATCTCTGTGAGTTCAAGGCCAGCCTGTTCTACATAGTGAGGGAGTTCCAGGACAACTGGGGCTACAGGGAGACCCTGTCTCAAAAAGACCAAAAAAGAAAAAAAAGGTGAACCTCCTGTGATTTAGCCATAGTCTTTACTTCCAAGTGACTTCTTCATTGAACCTTAGTTTTCTTTTAAACAGCATGCTCTTATTCCGGAGGGCAGCTTTTCATCATTCCTTTCGTCTAGTTAACAACCAAAGACAGACAAATCCCATAGGGACAAGTATATACCCAGTGGTCATCCACAAGCTGAAATAAGTTCGTTATGACTGTGGCCCAGGTTCCAAGCCGACCCAAGACCCAGGGCAGTGGCAGGACTCTTCCTTTGTTTTTAAAGGGTCTCCATGTAGACCATACTAACCTCAATGTCACAGAGATCCATCTGTGTCTGCTGCCCAGGTGCTGGAATTAAAGGTGTGCACCACCACACTCTGCTTGGTGACACACTTTAATCTCAGCACTTGGGAAACAGGCAGAAGGATCTCTGAGATCTAGGCCAACCTGGGATGGTCTACATAGTGAATTCTGGGCCAGTGGAGTTACATAGTGAGACCCTGTCTCAGGACAAAGCAAAAAAAAAAAAACAAAAAACTGAGAATGTCACATTGCCTTTAAGATACTGGGTTGTGTATACATGATTTCAGGCACAGTAGCTGCTTAACTTATTAAAAAATTCTCAGTTGTTCTGGGCATGGTGGTGGACTCCTTTAATCCTAGCACTCAGGAGATAGAGGCAGGCAGATCTCTGAGATCAAAGCCAACCTCATCAAGTTCAAGGCCAGCTAGGGCTACAAGGAGACTGTTTCAAACCCCCCACCCCTCAAAAAATTACTCAGTTGAGACTTTTGTTTCAATTTCATACATATGCTTATTATTAATAGATTGTGAGAAAAGTAAAATTTTTGATTTTAGGGCAAGCTGTTTTGAACTACGCTTGTTTATGATGATTGCTTTCATAAAGCGGAAGTTTGATTTGTTTGAAGACATAAGTTCATGGTTGGGACTGAAACGCAAGGGACCTCTGGTTCTCTGGTGATTGATTGCTCTACAGCACACTTTCTCAACAGACCCTAGAATACTACTTACTTGTTTTTGTTTTTGTTTTTCTGGTACTGGGTTTTAAGTCCATGGTTGCTTCATGCATATCACTGTGTTGCCCCTTCAAGCACCCCCTCTTCCATGTCTTATTTCCTAGATGATCTTCTCACTGCAGCTTTGGGAACTTACAGAAAAAAAATTGACATTGCTTTGAATGTTATTTATTTATTTAGGTCTTTTTTTGAGACAGTGTCTCCTAGTAGCCCTGGCTGGCCTGGAACTCACTATGTAGACCAGGCTGGCCTTGAACTCACAAGAGATCTGCCTACCTCTGCCTCCTGAGTGCTGGGATTAAAGGCGTGCGCCACCACGCCCGGCTCTGAATGTTATTTATTAACCCTACATTTTCAAGTTTCTGTTTCTCACAATATTCATTTTTTTTTAAGACAGTGTCTCCCTGTAGCCCCAGCTGTCCTGGAACTTGCTACATAGACCAGGCTGGCCTTGAACTCACAGAGATCCTCCTGCCTCTGCCTCCTGAGGGCTGGTACTAAAGGGGTGCACTACCATGCCTAGGTCTCAACAATACTCTTATTATATTTACTATATTATGTTCGCTTTATCTTCTGCTTGACAAAATTCTGTCTTGATTATATGTTTTTCTTGAATTGATACTATAATTTATTTTTTAAGGCTTACAATGACAGCACTAGGAGAAAAGCTGAATGATTACTGGAATGAAATGAAAGTGAAAAAAAATTCAGAATATCCTCTAAATTTGCCAGTTGAAGATATACAGTAAGTACACCTAGAACAATGCTAACTTGCTGTGATGCCAGAATGGTGTCAGACTGTAATGATGATGCAGGCTTTCATAGACTCACACTAAAAAACAAGCTAGCGCGCAACAAAATTAATGAATTTATGCTTGTCGATATCATTTGTTTCATTGCTGTGTAGACTGGGCTGTTGGGAGCTCACTATGTAGTCCATGCTAGCCTCAAATTTATAACCCTCCTGCCTCTGCCTCCCATGTGCTGGGATTATAGGCATATACCACCATACCAGGCTGGTGAGGTGACTCAGCAGTTAAGAACACATATTCTCCAGAGGACCTGAGTTTGGTTCCCAGCTTAGAGCCACCTGTAACTGCAGCTCCAGGGAATCTCATGGACTCTGGGCTCTGTGGGTACTACACCTATAGATTCACAGACAAAGACACATGTACATAATCAAAAATAAAATCTTAAAAAATATACTAATCTTGGGCCTGATGAGATGACTCAGTAGGTAAAAGGTGCTTGCTGCAGTCACATACTCGAGACCCACATGGTAGAAGGAAAGTACAGACGCTTTCAAGTTGTCCTCTGACCGTCACAGGCACAGCTATGGAACCACCACCCCTACCCTCCCCCCAAAAGAAAACACCAGATAAATAAAAATCTTGATGTGTTAAATTGTTTTCACAGTTCAGTAGCAGGTCACATCACATGTTTTGAGAAGCACTGGTATTGTGTAATTGCTAGGAGCATGGGTCTAAAACCAAGCAAGTTCAAATTATAATTCTACTCGTGGAGAATGTGAGCATTTCTACCACTTACTCTTCTTGCCATTGTAAGAATTATACAATCACATGCTCTCATTAGTATATATAGCACATCAACCTGTAAATGAACGATTGAATAAAGTCCCTATGTATTGGTAGGAAAGGATAACCGATGTATAATAAAAGATAAAGATGCAGCTTAGTATATGTTTCCCATTTCATTTCTAAGAAAATATAAACATGCCCATGCTTTTATAAGCATGAAAATTTGCTAGGATTCAGAAAATGATCATTGGTAATATTTTGAAACAAAGGTTATTGTTTTACTGCTTTTTTTTTTTTTAATTGTTTTTATTTTTTGTGTTTGAGTGTATTTGCCTGCATGTGTCTAAGTGCACCTGTGTTGTGCAGTGCCTGCAGAGGTCAGAAGAAAGTGTCAGATCCCCTGCAGCTGGAGTTATGGACGGTTGTTAGACGGCATGTGGGTGCTGGGAACAGAACCCCTCCCTGCAAGAGCAGTGAGTGCTCAACCTCTGAGCACTCTCCAGCCCTGGTTGTTTATTTTTATAAACTTTGGGTTATTTGAAGTTTTATATTAATATGTAAGTACGTTTTTAAAAATTTTCCTTTTGAGATAGGTTCTTACCATAGAACACTGGCTGGCCTAGAACTTGCTATGTAGACCAGGCTGGCCTTGAACTCATAGAGAGCCTCCTACTTTTGCATCCCGAGTGCTGGGATTAAAAGGGTGTGCCATCACATCTGGCTCATAAATGCATTTTTAAATCTTTTCATTTTTTTAATGTTGATGACTGTGCTGGACAGCTTTAGTGTCAACTTGACACACCTGGGTAGAGGGAGCCTCAATTAGGGAATTGCCTCCATTGGACTGGCCTGTGGCCAGTTGAGTGATGTGGGAGGTCCCAGCGCGCTGTGGGTAGTGCCACCCCTGGGCAGGTGGGCCTGTGTTTGATAAGAGAGCAAGCTGAGCAGGGGCCAGGGAAGCAAGCCAGTAAGCAGTGTTCCTCCATGGCCTGTGCTTCAGCTCCTGCCTCCAGGTTCCTGCCCTGAGTTCCTACAATAGAAAGTAGAAATATAATTACTAAATTATTGTAATAATACTTTTCTTTGTGAGGATGGTTTATTTTGGTAGCAGTTAACTATCGATTTGACATTGCAGAGGCTAACTCATTAATTTCAGGGTAAACCGTTTGGAATATAATTTAGTTTGTCATTATCATGGGACAAATTTAATGGCATACTATTAAGACACATAAATTGTTCTGTTTTAATTGACCTATGACCATAACCTCTTGAAAGTTGCCAAATTTTAAAAACTTAATTGTATCTACAATAAATACACAATTTTCGTCATGAGACATAACCAAGTATTTCATGTGAAAACAACAAAGAAAATCAAATGAGGTACTTAGAGATTATATTTTCATCTTAATCTTTTGTTCTTATTTTGCTACAGGAAGCGTCCTGATCAGACATGGGTTCAATGTGATTCTTGTCTAAAGTGGCGGAAATTACCAGATGGGATAGATCAACTTCCAGAAAAATGGTATTGCTCCAATAATCCTGACCCACAGTTCAGGTACCATCTAGTTGGTAGTACCCTCTTTGGAAAGGCAGAAAGTACTGTTGCAGATGTGTGAATAGGCACTGGTGATGTTGTTCCTTGTGATTTCTCTGTCTAGAAATTGTGAAGTTCCAGAAGAACCCGAAGATGAGGACTTGGTACACCCTACTTACGAGAAGACCTATAAAAAGACGTGAGTGTTTACTGATGTATGCTGAGGAGTAATGCCCAGTCTTGAGCGTGAATGTGTCTGCAGTAGTGATGTTTCTCTTAGCACAGAGCTAGTGGCTTGAACAGGCTCCGTGGAAAGCAGAGCAGCAAGTGCAGTGTCTTTTAAGCTTGTGCTGTCAATACCTGCTGTCTGATCATTGCACATACTTTACATAAGATGAGTTTATCTTTTGAGCCATACTAGATGAATGATGTATGAATGTGCCCCTTAAGAGCATTCCATACTAACAGAAAAGGTGACCTGTATATTACCAGTTAGAAGTTGAAGTATCTGTAAAAGGTACACTTTCATATTATGAGGAAGTTCATAAGGAGAGATTGCTTCTGTCTAGGGGAGTGGAAGATAGATAAAAATTGGGAAATTTCCTACAGGAGAAAGGAGGTCTTTTCAGGATGAGTAAGATAAGAGTGTCCAAGGGAGCAGTGATTTCTCCAGCTGAACTAGAGTAAATAGGAGTAAATCGAAAATGGAGATAGGATAAAGTAAGCTGCAGGGTTACACTAGTACACTGTACATAAAGGCCCAAGAAACCCTTCAGGTCGTTTTACTATCTGTGTGTCTGTATCTGTGTGTCTGTGTGCACACACATGTGCATGTGGAGGCCAGAGGTGGTCATCAGGTGTACTCCTTATTTTCTCTCCCATTTTAGATTTTTAATTTATTTAGTTTTTAGATTTTACATGTATGAGTGTTTTGCTTGAATGTATTTAAGTGTATCCCATGCATGCAGTGCCTGCATAGACTAGAAGAAGGTGTCTGATCCTCTGGGAACTGGAATTATAGAGGGTTGTTAGCCGTTATGGGTGCTGGGAATCAGACCCAGGTCCTCTGCAAGGACAGCCAGTGCTCTTAACCATCTGCAGTCCCCCCTCCCCCCCCAATCCTGTTTTTTGAGGGAGGATCTCACTGAACCAGGAGCTCATCCATTCAGCCTGTGATGAGCTCCAGGGATCCTCCTGGCTCTGCCTTCCTAGCACTACAGTTATAGAGAAACACTGTTGTGCCTTTACATGGGCTCTGGGAACCCAAACTTCAGCCCTCATACCTCCTCAACAAGCACTTTACCAACTGAATCATTTTCCCAGCCTCTTGTATACTCTTTATTTTCTTAAATTTAGCAGTGGTTTTAGAAGTAAAGAAACCATTTAGAGGCCTACTATGTGATAGCCTGATTCATATGTGTGTGATTCAAGTAGACATTAGGGTGTCAGGGAGATTTTTTTTTTCTTTTTTCTTTTTGAGATAAAGTTTCCCCGTAGCTCCAGCTAACCTGGAACTTGTTATGTAGACCAGGCTGGCCTTGAACTCACAGAGATTCTACGTGCCTCTGCCTCCCAGGTGCTGGAATTAAACGCATGCACCACCATGCCTGATGAGATTTTTTTTTTTTTTTTTTTTTTTTAAACAAAAGGAGAAAGTGGGGAGAGGGTTATTCCCTTGTATAGGGCTCACCAGTGATTTAATGAAATTGAAGCTACATTCATTGTGGATACCTGAGTAATTTGGTAGTGGGATAGGTTTGCCATTCGAAAATAAAATAAGACTGTGAAATAATAGGATAATAATAATAGTATAAACATGCTCATTTCTCATCTGTCTTTTAAAGCAACAAAGAGAAATACAGGATCAGACAACCAGAAATGATTCCTCAGGTAATTAAGCCTTCCATTTTATATCTTACCTAATTTTTTAGATGTACTGAGTTTTAAATGGTGCTCAATTTTAAAGTTTTGGACTTTTTTAAAAAATACTGTTTTGGGGCTGGAGAGATGGCTCAGCAGTTAAGAACACTGGTTGTTCTTGCAGAAGACAGGTTCAAAAAAGAGAAATACAGGATCAGACAACCAGAAATGATTCCTCAGGTAATTAAGCCTTCCATTTTATATCTTACCTAATTTTTTAGATGTACTGAGTTTTAAATGGTGCTCAATTTTAAAGTTTTGGACTTTTTTAAAAAATACTGTTTTGGGGCTGGAGAGATGGCTCAGCAGTTAAGAACACTGGTTGTTCTTGCAGAAGACCCAGGTTCAAATCCCAGCACCCACAAGGCAGCTAACAACTGTCTGTAACTCCAGTCCCTCTGTCCTCTGAGGGCATTGCATGACATGGGTGCACATACATGCAGGCAATACACACATACACATTAAATTTTAAAAAAATACTATTTTTATGTGTATAAGGATATTGCTTGCATGTAACTGCACCTGTGTTGTGCATTGCGTGAGGAGGTCAGAAGGTGTTGGATTCCTTGGAACTGGAGTTAGGGACAGTTGTTAGCCGCCTTGTGGGTGCTGGGAATCCAACTCGTATCCTCTGCATCAGCAGTCAGTGCTCTTAACTGCCGCTGAGCCATCTCTCCAGTCCCGTGAATTTTTAAGTTTTGGACTTTTATAACCAGTTGAACAGATCTTGTTTATTGAATTTACATTCTCTTTTTTTCTTTGTACCCATTCTTATCCTTTTCCAACTGTTCTCAACCCAACTACTTTATACAGACTGTTGTTTATTGTTTGGTTAGGCATTATCTGAGGTAAGGAAAACAGTCTTTTAAGAATCTTATCAGAAATCCACAGCCTGGTCAAAGTACAGAGAATAATGTCTAGAGTGCTCAGCCACAAATGGGACATCTGTATCCTACCTCTTCTCCCAGGCTCAAGAAAGGAAGAGGGGGTGGAGAGATGGCAACAGTTAGAGGTCCAGGAAGACTGGGGTGAAACAGTATCTTCTGGATGTGATAGGACTGCTGTGTTCATGAACTCACAGCAGCTGGGGTCGCCTGAACAAGATCCAACCAGCCGACTTCCAGCATGGAGAAGGGAAGGGACTTAGAGCCCCTACCCCAGCTGAGGAGCTTTTGGTGGTTGATGGCTGCTGGGGGAGGGGAAGTTCCTTTTCTTTAAGAGTATGGCTCCTGTACTCCAGGGGGATGGCTCCATGCCCATTTGTTTATGGGCAGCATAAATTAGATTTAGTGGATTATTCTGTTTTTAAAGGATATGAAGTAGAGGGCAAGGGTGGCTCAGGGAAGAGTTAGGGAGAGGAATAGGAGATGAATATCATCAGAATACACTATATGCAAGTACGAAATTCTCAAGGAATTAATACAGAAGAATCTGATCATTAGAGAGCTGTGTATGGGCCAGCATACACTATAATCCCAGCACTAAGGAGACTGAACAGGAGACTCATGAGTTGGAGGCCAGGCTGAATGATAAGGGCACTTGCCTACTTTGTACAAGGGCCTGAATTAGATCCCCAGCTGGGGTTGGTAGGATGCTTTGACTGACTGTAAATAAGTGGTTAGATTATTTTTTATTTATTTTTTGTCTTTTTGAGATAGGATCTCCCTATAGTCCCAGCTGACCTGAACTCACTATGTAGACCAGGCTGGCCTTGAACTCATAAAGATCCACCTGC